CCATCTCTCATGGTAAAAGGGCCCGCGCAGCAGCTAAGACCCACCCTGTATATTAACATATATACATATATATATATTAATATATAGACTATACACGTTTAAATATACATACTTTTTATAAAGACAATACAATATAAGCTCAAATACACAAGTGCGCCGTTTATCAATTGTATGTACATTTATGCATGCGTGTCTCGTACATTTATAATTCACGAACGCAGGATATACGAACCGCCGATCGCGGTAAATACGAAGAGAGAGAGTTGATTTATACGCCGTTCCGCGTTTATTTATAAATAATCGATACGTTTATATTAATAATTCAATATTGTTTCAAAGTCGCGAAGCGCGGGGGCGTTTAGAAATTGCGTAATTCAATTAATCTCTCGTGCATGTACGTGTACGGTCGTGCTGTAATCGTCAATTTTTCGCGCGTCCTCGCAGCGGAGGGGGGCATCGGGCGCCCCGAGACGGAGCGCGCGGGCGATCCGAGGGGGGAAGTGGCCGCGAAAGTAGGTGACCCCTGGCAGAAATTGGAAAATCAATAGAGTGGCGGCGAGCCGAGCCGAATCGAATCGAATCGGGGAGGCCGCGCGGCACGCGCTCGGCGGCCCCGCGGAGGTTATGTCGCGCGTCGTATCGCGGGAGCCGCGTCGCACGCAGGCCGCCCGTACGTGCTATTTTCGTTGCGGCGAGGGCCGTCCGTTCCGGCTGGACGTCGTGGGCGCCGCGCGTTACGCACTATAATGCGTCCGAGCGCGAAGGGGAGCCACGTGAGCGCCGCGAGGTAGTAGACAAAAATGGGCAGGAGGAAGGCTCACGCGTCGTCCAAGGGTAAACAACCGGGCCCGTCCACGCAGCAGAGGCACGTATCCGCGGCGAGGAGGCACGAGCTCAATGTCCTGTGCGAGAAGCTCTTTCATCGTGAGTACCCGCCCGGAATTATCCCCCCGGACACGTCGGAGGGCGGCATAGCCTCGCGTTGTTTCCCCCCCACGAAGGAGACCGCCGCCTCGGCGATGTATGCTCGGTGATAATTAACGGGAGGATAACAGGAGGCACGCGTCGTACTTGGTATTTTTTACCGCGCTCTACTTTTGTACGCGTTGCTGAATGTATAAAAGACACAATAGCAGAGTCCTCTGACATGAGATGGGCCTTCAACGGTCTGATTCAATCGCGGATCTTTTTTTTTTCCTTTTTCGCAACGACCGCGGGATCTAGCGATCGATTTTCCGCTAAACGGGATTCAATGGGCAATGAATTCGCGGTGGAACCGACGGACGACGCCGATTAATTTAGCGGAAACTCCGCTGTCTCGTATTAGGAGCCTGTCTCATAATAGGGGACTCTTCGCTATCAATCTCGTAGCAACAGCAGATTTGTATTGCAGCCTTCGGTATGGTTTTTGCAATTGCCTTTAGTTTTCACATTCCCGCACTTATCCTCTAGCCGACCGGTTGTGGGGGGGGGGGGGAGAGGGTCCGTTCTATAGTTACCGCTGGGCGAGTTATTTGTTTTCACATGCTATTTCGGCGGCGTGTTTGCAGTGAGCAGCAATCCGGCGTACGTGACGCAGTCATGGAGCAACTACTTGGATATATCGGAGGTTCTGCTGAAGGTTAAACGCCTGGAGGAGATGAAGACGGAGTCGTCGCAGCGATCCCAGGGGGTTGGACAGTTCGTGGATTGGCTGACGGAGAACGGGGCGCGGGTGGACGGCCTGTGCGTCGCCGAGTTTCCGGGCTACGATCTGGGGCTGAGGGCGGAGGCCGACTTCGCCGAGAACCAGTTGATCCTGGAGATACCCAGGGCGCTCATCTTCAGCACGTATACCGCGGCGACGGAGCTGGCCGTTCTGCAAAACGATCCGCTGGTGCAGCACATGCCGCAGGTGGCGTTGGCCATAGCGCTACTCGTAGAGAGGCACAAGGAGAACTCCAAGTGGAAGCCTTATCTCGATATGCTTCCGAGCAGTTACAATACAGTTTTATACATGAAGACCAACGATATGATCGAGCTGAAAGGCAGCCCCACGTTAGGTACACAAACAGTTTTGCGCGAATCCGACGTGAGATTGTTTCGTCCAAACGTTCGCTTCCCGCTAGATATACGAAAGACAGCGTCACTTCCGCATCAATAGATTATATCCAGGGTTGGGAAAGTTACTTTATTGAAGTACCCAGTTGCTGTTTCTTCGCTAAAGATGTTACAGTCGCAAGCTACCAGTTCTGGAAGGTAACTTGGTTGATAAACATTTACGTCGGGAGCATAGAGAGGCAATAAGAGCCAAACGCTAGGTGTTGGCTGCGGAAATCATATTAGATTTAATGTTAAATACAGTTGAGCAAGTCAAACGTTTCGATCAACCAAAGTGATCCTTCTCAAACTCTGAAAAGTAACGCGTTACAGTTGCAGTTACTCAAAGAGTGACGAATCGTTACTTTGCAGTTACGTTCTTGCAATAAAAGTGAAAACATCAAATCTGCATTTGAATTGTTAAGCGTCGATAAAGGCGTTTTTTATTTATGCGCAACGGCAAGGCTTGATGCGATATGCGGAGGTTTAAAATATACGTACAAAGTGGCTGTTAATGTAACTGAGTGAAGTTACAGTTACAGATGGAGAGAAAGTAACGAAGTTAAGCCGGAGTATTTCCCAACCCTGAATATCGCGGCTTTTAGTTTGTAGCTTGCAATTTATGGTCTTCGGTTCCTCACATTCTAACTCTTTATGTCTTTTACGCAGAGGCCGCGTTGAAGCAGTGTCGGAACATCGCGAGGCAGTATTCCTACTTTAACAAGGTGTTTCAAAACACCAACAACGCCGTCTCAGCGATACTTAAGGATGTTTTCACTTACGAGAGATATTGGTAAGTAATTAGAACATATTTTTCGCAATAAGTAAGAATAATTTACAGTACGGGGAAGGGGGGGGGGTATTGAACGCTAAATGTAGCATTTTTAATATAATTACAAAATCGTTTATCGATTTGAATATGTCAATTTGCTGACGACAATAACTCCACCCGTGAGAAAACTGCGTCAGGTCCGAAAAGAAACCGGCGCGCAGGACAAATGTGAAAAGAAACGGTATATGAATTCACATTTTAAAATATGAAAATTACAAGCTTGCCTCGTGACCCACATTGGCGTTTTCTCATAGGTTGTTTAGTAATTAGAACAATTAAATTGTAATTAATTTTAAACAGGGATGGGTGAAATTACAAACGCGATCGAGACTTGAATGACATTTACAGTTTTATTTATAAAATTTAACTCTTACAACACATATACATATATATATAAACCTATAAATAAATACATCTTATATATTATAAGCATGGAAGTTCAGCAAAATAGCTTAGCAATTTTACGATGCTCAGTTATTGTCTGAAAGATCTTGTTTAGAGAATAATTTAACTGCATATTTCAACTGCATTTTTTTTTTCGTAATTTCGTATTGCTTGATTACAATTTAAACAAACACGTATATACATACTATGGAACTGGTTTACTTTCTTCTCAGTGAAATAACGCGACGAGTAACTTGACGATCAATGTAGCTCTCTTTATTCAATCAGCCTTCGAGGTATAACTCATCCTTGATAAGTATATGCGAGAATACTGGCAGTTTTCTATTAGATTGGCGCAACAAGTTCACACGTGTCTCTATTGGTTTAAATAATTGCAAAAAGTTTCGAAGGTAAAACTGAAAACACTTTTTAAAACGACACAAGGAACTCACGGTAATAATTTCGTTCAAAGTAAACGTTACTATGAAACTAGGACTGGATTGAAAATTAACACAGCTTTTGCTTCACTTAATAAATAAAGCCGATGTACGTACCATCTGCGCCAAACTAATAGACTAGATCGTGCAATTGTGCCGGCGATGAGTTACTTGGCGTAATCGGGTATCGTCTCCCAACTATCGTTCGCGTCTAACGAGTCGTTGTCCATATCGCTCTTGCCGTCGAAATCCTCCACGGCCTCCTGCGTCTCGGTTCTCTCGGGCCTCTTGGTCGTCGACGTGGCGACGACGTTCACCATCACGGCGCTCAGGCTGCTGGAGTTGGACAGCTTCCGCGCCGCCATCACCGGGCCCTGGAACACCGCGCGTGAGAACGTGTTTCTGTACGTGTACCTCTGCTTCTGCCGAATCCGGCACACGATGAAGATCGCCAGGAACACGACGATCGTCACGCCCAGGATCGCGCCGCTCGCTATTATGCTCGGCTTCACCCTCGACAGGGTCTTCTTCTCCTCGCCGCCGTTCGCGCCGCTCGCCGTCTCGCCGTACACCGTCGTTTTTACATCGATGACGTTCGGCTCCTCCTTGACGACCTCCTCGACGTATCCCGCGTGGAATTTGCTCGAGTTGTCCGATCGAAGAGTCTTCTCCTCCCCGTCGATCACCACTACACTCGCGTTATCGTTACCTACCGGAAGCCTCACTTCTAGTTCGCGTTCGTTGGCATCGATTTCAGCTTCGAACTGCCGCTGCACGTCCTTGGCGAAAGGCAGGGAACCGAATGTTGTCAGCAAGTCGACGATCTGCACCGTTCGACGGGGATTCTCCAGCCCATCGATACGTCCGTTCAGCGTGTCGTTCTCCGGGTACGTCGTTTCCCCTTGCGCGTTTCTGTCGCGCTCGACGAGATCCAACAGTCTCGACATCGACATGTTCTCCACGTCTTTGTCGAAGAACGGGTCGTGTAGGTAGCTCATGATGTCTCTGAATCGATTAATCGTCTCTTCTTGCTTCGCGTCTTCCTTTTCCGAGGTCTTACCCTCGCTGAAATGTCTGCTAGAGTCGCCCGTGGACGAGAGTGGTGCGACAGTCTCCTCGTTGTTGGAGCTTCCCGAGGCTGGTTGGTTCTTCGGCTTGGACACCCTCAGTCGCGACACCTCCGTCAAGTGAACCTTGCTGGAGCCCCGCTGACGCAGGGCAATCAGCTCCTCCACGCTCATGTTCCTCGACTTGAGAAGACGCTCCAGCCGCTTGCCCGCCGAGCCGGACGCGAACAGCTCGAAGATCTCCGCTCGCGCCTCCGGCTCGATCTCGGAGACGACCTCCTCGTAGCGCCTCGTGTCCCGATGGTTCTCCGGCGCGCGATCACGAGTCCTCTCTCCCGGCGATCGAATCACCTGATGATACTCGGCCGAGTGATTCTTGTCGCGCGGCTCCCTCCTGTCATCAGCCGAATTCGCGGTCTGTTTCTTCTCGACCCGGCCCACAGCGGCGTCAAATTTACCCGAGTGATCCTTTGTCCCACTTGATTTCCCAACGTCCTCGAGCGTCTTCGGAGCGTCGCTCTGATACTCTGCCTCCATGAACGTGTTGTAATCCTCCGCGCCGGGCACGCCGATGGGAACTGATTGGCCGCCAGCCCGAATCGTTTTTCTATCATCTTTACCGATGTCGTCATCCCGATTGTTCTCACGACCATCCGCCGGCTTGATCCGCTCCGTGGGATTGAGAATCTGCTCGATGCTCAAGGTGGACTCGGTGTCGCGAGGCGCTTGCGGCGAGACGATCCTCTCGCTCGGCGGACTCGACCAGACCGGCGCCGCCGAGCTCTTTCCCTTCTTGAAATCCGTGAAGTCCGAGAACTCCATGATCTCGTCCTCGTCGAGGCTCTCGAGCCTGGCCGCGTGGTCGCTCGTCGATTCCGCGTTGCCGTCGTCGTTGAGGAAGTACTCCGCGGAGTTGACCGCGATCGGCGGCGGCGGCGACGTCGACGTGGTGATCGTCGAGAGCGTCAGGGGAGTCGTCGGGGCTCGCAGCCACGAGGAATTCTGCGCGGATCGCGTCATCTTCTCGGCCTCTCCCGACTCCTCGCCGGAGGTCTCCTCGAGGTCGCTCGTTCCGTCCGTGGCGGCTGTCACCTTCGATGCCGAGCTGTCCGGAATCGCGCCCGAGGTCGTAGTGCTCAGCGTGGTACTTTCGAACGTCGCGGACGCTTGCGTGGTCCCCCAGAGCGGTGTTACCGTCGCGGCGAGCTTCATCAGCGAGTCGGACATCACCCTCGACATCTCTTCGATGTACTCGTCGGACTCGTCGGCGATCCTCGATTTCAGGGCGTTGATCACGTCGGCTTTCCCCTTGAGGAGGTCGCTCAGGGTCAGATTTCTGCGCTGCAGTATCTCCGACAGGCTCGAGCCCTCCTCCTGCTGCATCTTCAGAAGTGACTTCAACTCGAGCGCGTTCTCTCGCTGCTTGTCGGACGACTCCGTCGACGGACTTCGTGGGGGACCCCTCGACTCCTCGTCCCCGTCGTTGGACGCTGCCTCGTTCGCCAGAGCGAACTCGTAGTTCTGCGGCGGCCGCCGCTTCCTCGGGCGCGGCCTCAGGTACTCCTCGTCGCTGAACTCGTGCTCGTACTCGTTGGGACGAGCCTGGAAGGCCTCGCGGTACCTCCAGGTGGCCTCCCGGTCGTTCAACGAACCGTCGACGACGTTACGACCGCGCTTCCCGTCGCTGCTCGCCGCGCCGTCGATCGTCTCCTCGTAGAACGTCGGATTCTTCGGCGGGCGACGTCTCTTGCGCGGATAATCCTCGTCGGGATTCCCGTAGTCCCGACCTCGGTACGAGGCCTCGCGGTCGTGACCGTCCGCAGGCGGAAGTCGCCTGGCCGGGCTTTCTCGAGGACGATCCGGTTGATCGATCGCGTAATGATACTTGAACGGTCGGCGACTCGTCGCCGGCGAGTCCTCCTGCTCAACATCCTCGACCTCGTCCCTCGCGTACGACCGGTAGTCGGCGAACGGTAGCAGAGGTACGGAGTCGCCGTCGCGCCACTTCGGCTCGAGGGCCTCGCCGTTGCTCCTCCACTTGCCTACGGGAGGCTCGCTCGATCGCTCGCGAACTTCCGCGGAACTCTGCGGCACTTCCGCGACGTCCGGCTGTCCGCGCGGTTCCGTCTGAAAGAGTAGAAACGTCTCTTGAAACTAGAAGTAGCGCGCGATCATTCCTTACCGTCCCTATTGTTTAGATTAATAGAGGAGAGTCCTCTATTATGAGATAGGCTTCTAGTATGAGATAGCAGGTTTTCAACACCCGAATTCAATCACAAATCTTTTGTCTCAACGATTACATCTAACAATAAATTTTCCACAGATTTCGCTCCAAGGGCAGTAAATTCATGGTGGGATCAACTGATGACGTCTATTAATTCAACAGATACCCCGCTAGCCCATATTAGAATCCTATCTCATAATAGGGAACTTTCTTCTACCCTATTTCTTGTATAAAAGATAGGATTCTGAAATTTTATGACTTTTCATCAATCAAATGATTGATCATGATTTCTAAAATCATTGGTCAATCAGATTGATCAAATGATTGATCGATGATTTTAGAAATCTGAAAAGTTTCAGAATCCTATCTTTTGCCCAAGAAATAGAGTATTAATCTAAGAAACAGTCAGAAATGACCGTTCGGTATTTCTAGCGTTAAGATCCGATAATGAGTAAGTTTTTAATTAAATGCTTCTGAACAGAGTTTCGTGCAAAGTTATGCGCAATGTGGTTGAGAAAATATTTTAATATTGAAACGCTCTTTTATCACACGGGATATCGTAATTACGATACATTAAGTATGCGATACCATCACTTCACACCGGATTATTAATTTTTTTTTACTTCTTCAATCTAGCAATTTTAAGTGCATTCCGCGGCAAACATCGTTTCCTATTTCGGAACAAGTTTCCCGATAATGATACTTCCGTTTAATAATATTTAACGGTCACGTTCGCGAAATCAATTAGGTTCCCCGTGAATATTTATGGGAGCAAATTAGCCGCGACATTTGCCACTCATTGAAATCTCTTGCTAGGGTAAAATTAAACTTCGGCGAATTGCGATTTGTCATAAGTCACGCGGGAAATCGTTGTTAAACGAGGCATGCGATTGTGAGCGCGACGGTAAAGGCCAACGACCATAACGATAGAAAGTATATTGAGGTGTTTGCAACGCTTTACAAATATCCCCGCGGAACGTTTACATTTACAATGAATGGCGAACCGATCCTCCGCCGCGGGAAGATTGTATATTTCAGCGAATTCACGCTCGCGCGCGCTGGGAAAAATTTGCACCGGACAAACCAATTAAATGTTTTATTAAGTGTTTTTTTATTTATTAATTAAGTGTTTTCGATGGTTAATTTTTCCAATTAAATTATGATCCGACGAAATGCAGTTACCGATAAAATTTGATTGAAAAACCAATCATATTTTTCATCGGATATACAATTTAATTAAAATACATCCGTTTGTTATGTGTAATTGGATTATATCCGATTATATTTTATCGGACATTTTTCTCAATGCAGTTTGTACGAAAATTTAGAGCGAAGTCCGCGCGCGAAAATCGGAGGAAGGGTCCAACCGAGGGGGAAATCGCTGAGGGCATTGTGGTGTAAAGATTTGCGGCATTACTGGGCATCACTAGGCATCACTAGGCATTTTTGGGCATTAGTTTGGGCATTATGCCCACTGGGCATTAGTGGGCATTGGTGTACAAGATTTTGGGCAGCGGTTTCCCCCTCGAGTCCAGCCTTCAGTGATTTAAGCCCGTATCAGACCACGAATTGGGATTGAGATTAGATTGAAATTTGACCAATCACAGTAAAGTTTACTAATCTCAAATTTAGTAACTTTTACTGTAATTGGTCAAATTTCAATCTAATGTTAATCTCAATCCGTAGTCTGATATGGGCTTTACTCGCTTCCACGATGCGCCTCTCGCGAAAGTTTCCAGATCGAAGGGGCATTTTCAAGCGGATCGTTTGCCAGTTTCGTTGAAAAACCGCGCGCCCCGCGGGGCTGATCGACGCGCCGCGGAAGCACGCGTCGCGAGCACTGGATCTCGCCCGCGTATATCTCTCGATTACTCGTCAGGATCTTCCTCGCGCTGAAAGGAGATTCGGCGATTTCTCGCTTTTACTTTCGCAAGCCGGACGCGCGCGCGTGAGAATGTGCGAAATAGAGAGAGCCGCGCGCGATTCTTCGCTCGCAGATGCTTTTCCGTCCTCGTTTCGCAGCGACAATTTTTCCTGCGGCCAAATTAATTCGCCATTGAAATTACTGTAATTCGGGTTACTATTTGTTTACAATGCACGGGTGAAATAATTGGCGGCACGAATCGCGACCGGCGTGTTTGCCCGTTAATTAATTTTTCTGATCGTATCTGCATTAATTTATATATTAAATATTTGCAATTGTCATTATTAGGGATCTGAATCGAGATTATACTTTTCGCACAATGGCAGCTCCTCGTTATCCGAAGTGTTCCGTTACGCATCCGTTGAAGCATCCGTGCGTCAGGCGCAAACGGATCGAACGCAAGCGGGGGGGCCATTGTGGCGTTTCATAAGCGGGCGTTAGCTCAATCGGCTCATTAGCGTTAGATTAAAGCATTTCGTAACTTCATTAATACAATGTTCCGTGCTTTCGCGCGGTGATGATTTTCACTTCGCTTTCTCGCCGCAAAAAGACGCGCGCGCGCGTTCCCATTTTTCCACGGTCCAATCTCGTATATTCGCGGACCACGTGGGAAATCATTCGCAATTACTCTCTCGCGAGTAACGGAAATCGCGGGAGAGTAATTTACGCGACTTCCCCCCCCGGGTCGCACCTCGCTCTCCGGCGACCCTCGACGATCGAGGAAGCCCACTCTGCGGATTTTCGTATTCGTCACTGATTTTATTTTAGCGGCCGGCGTTCCAGAGCTCGTATCGCGCTAATCCTTTTTACCCGCCGCACAATACGAGCTGTTAAATTTATAATTGTACGTTTTCTCCAATTTAGAGAACTCGCCCCGAGCGAAGCGCTTTTTACTCTCTTTTTCTCTCTCTCTCATATCTATCTATGTGTCTCTGTCTCGAAGGCCGGATTCCGCGCTGGATTTCGTTCCTGGTGCTCCTCGCCTTCGGCTCCGAGATCAGGGATACGGCGAAATACGCGACAAAACGCTCGTAAAGTCTCGAACTTTCCGCGCGCGGTACCAGCTTTCTCTTTCTCTCACGGTTTACGCGCGAGTTTTCTCGTCGCTGCGCATCGATCTCGCGGCCAGGCGCATCGACGAAAAATTCCGGGGGGGGAAAAGCGCACCCGCGGCGGGGAATGATCTCGCGGCTGATTTCGCGGAAAATAAAACGGCAGTCGGGAGAGATACAAGGCAGATACGTAAGGCCGCTCGGAAATCGCGCACTTTCCCTGAAGTTATAAACGGTAGAAGAATGAGGCCCGTTTCGACGCTGAGGTGTCGATCATTTTCATGCTCACGGGGGATCGGAAACTAGTTTCAGCGATTTACGCTTCAGCGAATTTTATTTGCCGTGATCTTTCGACGGTTAAAGTGAAAGATACGTGACGTAAAAGGTGGAAACGAAGCTTTCAATGTGTCGACAGCGAAAAGTCGAGCAAAAGAAAAAAATTGCGCCGGGAGGAGAATCGATTTAGAATCGTCGTAATGTAAAGCGGCTGCTTATCAAAGAAAGCGTGTGAAAAGTTACATTGTAGCAGATAATATCTAGCGCGGTACAGTGGAACTGATTTCGTTAAAATTTTCCGTTTAAACGAAACTGATTTCGTTACAATTTTCCGCCCGAATGAAACTGATCTCGTTAAAATCTTAAGCCGTTTGTCAAAACTGTAATGTCTTTACCAGGCGCGTTCCGTCAAATTTTTGTCGTTCGCGCGCGAAGTCGCGAATTAAAAAAGGTTCTTAACACGGCGCGCTTAACTTGACTCGCTCAAGTTTAACGACGCCAAACGAACGCAATTACGGCCTGGTTGAACCTGTCACCGGGCGAGCGTCACGATTGTTTCGCAATCGGGACATACGTGCATTCCCGCTCGGCTTGGAATCACTCGGAGGCACCCGCGTGACGAATGTCAGTAGAAATGTCACAAAATCTCGCAACCTAACCAGTTTTTGCGAAAAATCGCGACCGGTTAAGAGCGTCAGTGGTACGACTTTCGGCTCTGCGATCGGATAAAACGGTCGTTCACCCCTTCGCGTCTAAAACGCCGCTCCAGAAAGTCGCCTCGCGCGAAAACTGGCGAAATCCTCGCGAGGGGACGGTCCGACGTTGCGTCCCGATGTGATAAAAATCGGAGGCTTGAAAAAAGTTACGTGATAAAAAAAATTTCATTTCGTAATTAATTAACATCGCGCGTGCGACATATTATATAAATTCAATTAAAAATTCGCCTCCTGGCCTCATTTTTCGACAAATAAATCTTTCGGCCAATTTTTCCAGCCGATTAGATAATCGGCTGGAAAAATCGAGTGGGAAGATTCCCACTCGAGTCCTCGATGTACGATCGCACGGGGGACTTCTGTCGCACGTGACGTCTCGTTTCCTCGCCGGAATGCCACACTTTCGTCGCAGGTGCGCGCCCGCCGGGCGCGAGAACGGCGCTTCTCACGGTTACCTGGTAGTCATAGCCGCCGCCGCTCCGTCCCGCAGCTTCCGGCTTCCTCGCGAGATCGCCGTGGACCAGAACGTCGCGCGAGATGTCACACGCGAATGCGATGAGCGCGAGCACGGTGAACACCCTCTGCATAGTTACAGGCCGATCAGGAACCTCAATGCCCTGTCCTCGCGACACCGCGATCCCCTTTCGCCGATGTGACACTCCGTGTCGTAGCCCTTCGCGATCAGGTGCACGTAAATCACCAGGGCGCACAGAATAACGAAGACCGCGTTCTTCCGACTGCACAAACTTAGGATACCCTCAAGAACCATGCAGGCGAGTTGCGCGCTCAACTCCTGATCCGTCGAATCAGTATTGAGATTCACGCCGGGTCGTAGAAAAAAAAACAACAGTCGATTACGATAGGACGATCTCGTAATTAACTCTCTTCGTAATTACCCTCGCGCTGCACCGAGATAATTATTAATTAGTCCGCTGCATCAGCTCGTATCAGCGTTTCTAATCCATCGTGCGGCACTCGCGTTCACCAGCGTTCAACTCCGACACTCCGAGGAATAACGTCCTACTCCCGAACTCTCGCCCCTTTGCACGCTCCCTTCGCCCTCTCGTCTCGTCAGTTTCTCTTTTACTCGCGCGTCAGAGGAGCCTCCTTTTAGTCACCGCGTGGAGAACATCGCGATCGGCGAACGCGTTCTCCATCTTCGATCCCGCGCAAAGAGAGCCGCTCGCGTGTGTCTCGCTCGGGTGTAAAACTTTCGCGGACTCGGGCCCGCTCGTCTGCGCTCTCGGCAAATCGCCCCTGCGAACTGACGTCGCTTTTCTCCGCGCGCGCTCCTAAGTAAGCCGGTGAAACTCGAGAGGAGTAAAAGAGTCTTCCACCGCGAGCCTCCTCTACCGCTGCCTGCTCGCGATCGCCCGCTCTCGACACGGGATGCTCCCCGGGAGTCGAGTCGAGTCGTGCCGAGTCGAGTCGCTCGGGGGAGATAAATTCCGGTAATCACGACCGCGAGCCGAGCGATTTGATCGGCGAGGAAGCACCTTGCGCTCCCAAATTGGGAAGTGTAGTTGCACGTCGAGCGTCGCGAAAAAAAAAGGAAAAGGACGTAGGAGAAAGCCCGGCACTGTTCCGGAGATTGTTCAGCGGAGTGATCGGGCATTCAGATGGGACGTTACAGGACGCGCAACCGTTGCATTTTTTCTTCTGAACAAAATTGAGCGAAGCTCATTGTCGCCGGTGGTAATTAAATGGAATTTTTTAAAAAGTCGATCACTGGCAAAACGTGATCTTTAAGTCACAACGTCTCGACCTCGTGGCGAACGAAAAGATCCGGAGTTCAAGTCCACGAACACCACTGGTGTTTTCAGACTTTTCCGGAGGGAAGTAACCACCGAAAGTATCCTGTTACACATATTCTTTTAGGGGCACAGCCCTCCAGATTGGAGGTTTCCTTACTGGGTAAAATAGCCTTTTAAGCCTAACACGAGGAAGAAGAAGAAGTTTCGACCTCTTTATCGGGTCCTTTTCAAGTAAAAGTTAAGAAAAATCCACTGACTACCGAGACCACCGAGACATGACATTATGAATGTGTTGCCACAGACTCATGAACTCATTCTGTTTCGGCATGAATAAAATTTTTTTAGTCAACATTAGATTACACTTGAAAAGGACCCGATGAAGAGGTCGAAACGGTGTGACATAAAGATCACTTTTTTGCCTGTCTGGTCGACTTTTTGAAAGTTCTCCCCTTTTCTTCTAAAGATACGCAAACCTCGGGAACCCGATCCGGGACATTCGATACGTGTCTTAACGTCAGGTAATCGCGAGGGGAAGAAAACGCCATCGTTAAGATTATGACGCAAAGATATGTGTGTACTATTAAGTAACCGCTGTTGGTATATAAAGAAGTGCGATTGCGTGTAACGAGGCCATCAAGAATCGATACAGGCTGTTTACTTGCTGATATCTCAATTATTGGTTTTATCCATCGCGACTGACCGCTCGGAGTCCACGCGTAGGAAAGGAGGAGGAAGTCGTTGAGCGCCTGAGGCGAAAACTCTGTTAATGCAAATGCCGCGTGCGTATATCTGTCACCGTCAGCCTTCGATTGCGATGAAACACACCGTGCTAGCGGGATCTCACGCGACTCCTCGCGCGTATCTCCGCGCACTTGGACGCGCGGCGATAAGCCACGCGAACCGCGGGTGTTAATTTTGCACGAGAGCACGGTACGTGATGCCTTAATTTTTTTCCCCCGTTTACTGAATCCGCGCACTTTGCATATCATTAAACAAAAGGTCGGAGGGCATTTCCCGCGCGGTCGGAGAAGCGAGGCAACAGGAATCGCATCGCGTTTTGCCAGCGTGTATTTAATGCACGTTGCGGCATGGCAAATTACGATCGCGGCGAACGCGAGCACGAAGTAGAAAAGTGTGCCGATCGTTTGCAACAATAGGCTATGCAAACTATCCTTTTACGCGTAATTTACGTAGACAATACTTGTAACAGCCGTGATTTCTCCTCCTTTCTCCTCTTCCTAAAATGATACCTTTTTTTCCAACGAAATTCGGAACGTAATTCATGATAATTCCACGAGAATTATATTACCCTACTTGCAACGAACCATTAATATCGGCGGAAGTTCAGCGTTTGAATCGGTGACATTTATCGTCTTCCCTTTGTGCACTCATCTCTCTCTCTTATTCAGTCCACCGTGCTTTTCCGCCTTTGTACTTTCACGGATTTAAAACGGCAAATTATTAGAGTAACAAACAGCTTCTTTCTCATGAGTCTTGGGTTACTGTTACGCGGGAAGAATTTAGTTGGCCGCGGCCAACAACGAAATCTCTCGTTTCTCGAAGGCTCTCGCGTGTGAATCCGTTATTTCTCGCGTAAAGTTTGTATCAATTATCGCATTATGCAGCTAATTATAACACGCGGATAGTCGGCGGTTAACACGTAACGCGACCGAATAAAATTAACGAGAGTTCCCCGGTAGATGAGAACCGGCTGACGCGGGTCCGTCGCTAATGAACCGCGCGGCCAAGCGACGACGATGTAATGACAATGACGGGGACAAGGATAATGATGATGCGGTTCTTTCGCAACTCGCTGTGGTGCGGATAGACATCGGGGCCGGGCTGCGTTGTATCTTGGACGATCCATCAGATAAAATTTGGCATACATTGACGGAAGGTTCGGGTCCTGGTCTAGTCCTAGCCTGTTATTTTCCTCGCCGAAAAAATTAACTGGTCGCAGACACCCCAGAAGATATACAGTTGGGACCATCTATTAAACAGCACTCGATGTTTAGGAAATGAGCTTCGGTCATAGATCGCTTGATATACGGGCTCCGCTAATGGGGGGGATGGATGCACACTCGAGCGCACGTGGGAAGGTCGCGCGATGAATCGGAGATCGTGAGATCTTCTCGGTGCACACTTTCTATAAGCGATAAGCGAGCGTGCGCCGCGCCGCGGCGAAGGGACCGGCCGACCGGCCTCGGACACGTTTCACGCTGGAAATAATAGCGATCGCCTTAGTTTACCGTGCGTAATGAAATCCCCCGTGTTCTCGTAACCCACAAGGATGATGCCTAGCGCGCGAGCGCCGGCGATACTTTCCAATCTAACGTGTCGATATAAGAAAATATAACGCACCGGACGGCGTCTTTCTCTTTCATTGAGGCTCCCCTCACTTTGTATACAAACTCTTCGCTCAGTTTCACGGTAAAGTGGACCGTCCGGGATTTGGCTGTAAAAACGTTTAAGAGAGATTTACGGTAGGAGCTGTTAATTGTCAGACAGATAACTTTTGTACTTTTCAGTTGGATGTCCAGTGCCCGGCGGCCTAGTTTATATTCCGATGATTTTTTTTTTTACGTCAGTACGTAAATGCCACCGCGGACGTTGTATGCAAGCACGTTGATTAATGACCGCTGCAAAACGCTGCGTTGGCAGTTGGAGATTTCTAACGCGGGGATCCTGTCCTGCAATGTTTCTCTGTCCCGGTTACTATATTACACGTCATTATAGAGACTTTTGCCCGTATTATGACGAAATACATATATTTATTTATGCGCTCGTCAATTTCGCATTACGAGGGCTTGGGCAACCTCTTCTACATGCATAAATGTACATGTTAGTCTTTACGGCATTGGCTACGTCAATGCCCCACTAGTTTAGACATCAGCTTAGCAGCTTATTTGAGTTAATTAAGTTAACGGTGCGAAATACGTCATTCCTATAAATATAGATACAATTTTTATGAAGGATCTTGTATAAAGATCTTTCCAATATATAAAAAATAAACCCGTATGGTCAACTATCGTAATCGACACTCAGCAAATGTATGCGGGAGAGCCATTCTACATTATACAGGGTGTTTCAGGGTAAAGTGTCCTAACTTAAAATATGAACTTAGGACCTCAAAACAAGAAAAAACTTTCCTCTGGAGACATGTCCGTAAACGCTTTGTTTAAGAGATATTGACATCTAAACATTTTTTCATTATAAAATTTATGAATTTGTTATCGGGTTATAATAAATAATTTAATAGTGTGCTTCAAATACTTTATTATTAAAAAATATGAAAATTTTTACTTAATTATAAATTTTGTTCAAAGTGACGGCCTTGAACTTTGAGACAGGCTTGACATCTGTCTTTGACGGATTTGACGGACCATTGGATTTTTTGCTTGGGGTACTATTAAACAAAAATTCTACGAAAAGCCGGTTAATGACATTAATTCTTTACAAGGAAGAATTATTCAAGGATGTGAAACAATTACAGCTATTCAGTGCCGCTCTGCCACTGCTACCGTCAAAGACAGATGTCAGGCCTGTCTCGGTGTTCGGGGCCGTCACTTTGGACAAAATTTATAATTGAGTAAAAGTTTTCATGTTTTTTGGTAATAAAGTATTTGAAGCACACTATTAGGTTATTTGTTATAACCCGATAACAATTTCATAAAATTTTATAATGAAAAAATGTTTAGATGTCAATATCTCTTAAACAAAACGTTTACGGACATATCTTCAGAGGAAAGATTTTTCTTGTTTTGAGGTCTTAAGTTCATATTTTAAGTTAGGACACTTTACCCTGAAACACCCTGTATATGTATAATATACAAATAAATATCACACAATATGTATTACACTTATATATTATACGCTGTATTATTATAATACATGCGCTGTTAAATATTCCGAACGATACAGAAATTTTGTGCGCTCGGCACGAAGAGAAGAAACGACGGCAAAAGCCAGGGTGAAACATTGCGAGCGATACGGATCGCGTTCACCGGTCTTACCGGCGCGTTATTGTTAATGATACGGTTACAGCGTCACACGTTGGTGAACGCTATCGCGCGGGCTCCGCGAAAGACACGCGTGATCGCCTTCGCAGCATGCGGCGAGCGCGCACACGCGTGCGTTACGCACGCATGCAAATGCCGACGCGGAGCAGCGTTGTGTCGAGGAAACGGCGGCGGAGCGGAGAGCCTTTCCTCCGGAGCCGGGAACATTGGAGAACGCGCGCGCCTCGCTGCTCTCGGCGATATCCCTCGCCGCGCGTATCTCGGTCCGCGAGAGCCAAGGAACTCGTAAAGAGCCCGCGCACTTTCACACGGATCCGAACTTTCATGACAAGTCCGGCCTTCCTGGCGCATCTCGATTAACATCTCGAGAACGAAACGTTTCCGCGCGACGCGCGGTTTACGCCGATAGCTAATTTATAAGCGGGGACTTTCGAGGCGGAAGCGTTCTTCCTCGTCTCGCGTAAGAGAAGAAATGTCGGAGGACTTCGCGCCGGGCTGCGATCTCGTTGCAACATCGAATTACGAAGCGTGTCAAAAGCGAAACGCACGGTTTCATCAAATTCCTTTTTTGAAAAAAATCATTTTCAGCGCTGACGCACGGCTGCGCGTGCCATCGTTGCTTTTAACGCACGAGTAATCGCCGTGCGGTTTTCTTATTGCGTGCAGGCCGCCCGGGAGTTGCACGAGTTTATGAACCCCGAGCGCACAAATGCGGCGAACTGTCAACGGACCGTGAAATTTTATTCTCTTTATCGTAAGAACCGAGCCGGCGTCGAGGCACACTGCGGCCGGTGATGCCTGGATTTTCTGTAATTATTACGAGGAGTTTGTTCTTTCTCCCCCCCCACTAAAAGTTCATTTCTATTGTTACGCCACGATTGTGCCGTCTATCGATTACTCGCTCGCGATTTTTTCCCGCGCGGCGTAATAGATTATGGCGGTTCGCCAAGTAATGACGTATCATTTTGCGGTATTGCGCACAGAGACCTGTTCTCGCGGACCTTATCTCCCAATCGGATCTAAATATTTCGCGCGGTGTCGTTGACTTGTTCGCGAGTCTCGTTGGCCTTTGATGTCAGTCTGTATTTTCAAGATGGAATTTAAAGCAAAATGATTAATTAACCAAACACTCTTGACGTTAAAGAGTAACGAGGAGTGAGCGGGTTTCGAGAGTTCACGCTTGTTGTGCGTGAACAACAACTAATAATTTAAACAGCATACAAGAAACGGCCAAGGTGTAGGTAGTCTATACTTGTAATTTATTAAAATGCGAATTCATATACCGTTTCTTTCCACCTTTGTCCTGCGCGCCGGTTTCTTCTCGCAGTTTTCTTACGGGTGGAGTCAGCACATTCACATATTCCAATCGATAAATGACTTGTAATTATAGTTTAAATGCTACATTTAGCATTCACATCCCCCCCCCCTCTTCCCCGTACTGTAAATTATTCTTATTGCGAAAAATAGTACCTCAGCCAGGGTTCGAACTAATAATTTAATACAAATCGACTTGCTCTCAAAGCTCATCTTCCTCGTGGCTTCTCAATTTTAAGGAATGCGTAAAACTGCTGCAAATTGAATTAAAGAGCTTCGCCCCGTTCTTTGAACTCATTTAAATAAGGTCTGCCAGCCCACGTGAAAAAATAATCGCAGTCGTGCTGCGAAAAATTATAATTGCGTCAACTGTAGAAAGTTCAGTGAGAGACACGCGTTAGAACAATTACAATCTATTTATCACGGAACTTTCTACAGCCAGTCGACGCAATTATAGCTTTTCGTAGGGTGCTTCTAATTGCCGTTTCTTAACACGGACTCGAGGCGATTTGGAAACGAGCTCTCCGATTTTCTCCCGAATTCTATAAATCGTCTGAAATGTTGAACGGCAAGGGCCGCAGAAGTAGGCCGTATCCTCGGTGGACAATGAGGCGTCATTAGCTCGAAACGGTTTACTGGAATTAATTTGTTCTACACGAGGAAGAGCTCGATCACGCAACCGGCACAGTGGCCGACGGTGTAGGCGCATACGGATCTTATTATATGCACAGACGATGAAACGTCTGAACGGGAGTAACACGCGACCATCTCCCACGTGGAGGACGCGCGACGGTGACGGTGAGAAGCGCGCGTTTCTCCGAACAGAGAAAGAGAGAGAGAGAGGGAGAAAGTCCGTCGGGTGATGAATCCTCTTGTATGTTCATTTCCGGAATTCTGGGTCAAGTTCTTGCGTATCCGAAAAGCAGCCGCTTGCCCGCGGCGAGTTAATAATGCTCTTCCTCAATTTCGCCCCGAAAGCGAAAGCGCTTCACGCTCCGGAGATTGACGCGGGTACGCACGCATTCGTTGTAACGGCGACTTTTGATAGCCGGCGGATTTCACCTCGAGTCCGAGCGGTGTTCTCGGCTTAGATTATAGCCTCGGTGAAAAATCTGGGACGCTGAACTGAGGAATCTTAATGGGGATGCCGATAATAACGTCGAATGAACTTTTCAGCTGGGCAGTTTCCACGGTGATGACGAGGCAGAATCTGATCCCGAGTCCGGATGGTTCGCGCATGATACACGCTTTAATCCCGATGTGGGACATGTGCAATCACGAGAACGGAAGGGTAAGTCATGGAGATAATGGAGCGCGAACGAGCAATGCATTTTCTGTCATTACTATAGATGACGACGGACTTCAACGTGACCTCGGATCGCTGCGAGTGCTACGCGTTGCGGGACTTCAAGAAAGGCGAGCAGGTATTCATAAGTTACGGCCCGAGGACCAACTCCGATTTCTTCGTACACTCGGGTTTCGTTTGCATGGATAACGAGCAGGTATGCGCATTTGTTTGTTTAAAAAATAACGTTGGTCTCTCGCTAAAACGTTCAATATTGGAGCTTACAAATGACGAGGGCAACCGACGAGTCCAATTATATCGTTGCTAGAGAAAGCGAAAGATCAACGTCGATCTCAACGAGGAATCTGTAGTGAAGAATTTCACAATGCTAATCTCTCCTTATTATTTACAAAGACATGTCGCAATTCGCAGGATGGCTTCAGGCTTCGTCTCGGTATTAGCAAAGCGGATTCCCTTCAGAAGGAGCGGATCGAACTGCTGAGCAAACTGGATTTGCCGTCAGTTGGAGAATTTTTACTAAAGCCGGGTACGGAGCCCATCTCCGATACTCTATTAGCCTTCTTGCGTGTGTTCAGTATGCGAAAAGCCGAGCTCGCGCATTGGTTACGCTCGGACAAGGTCTTCGACCTGAAGCACGTGGACTGTGCGTTGGAGACGGTCGTCGAGGAGAATGTCAGAAAATTTTTGCTGACCAGGCTGCAGCTTTTAATCGCTAATTATCCGACAACACTGAAGGTGAAAGTGAAACTTAATGTTGCGCCGTCTGCCTTTACTCTACCGTCCATACTGATCGATCACGGTCAACACGAATATTTCCTTGTTTTTTTGCAGGAAGATCTAGAGTTACTGGAGACCACGTTGCCGCAAATGAAAAAGATGACGGTACAACTGAGGGTCACGGAAAA